ACCAAACAATTACAGAGATCATACTTTCATTTGTTCCCATGCTACCTCTCTTGCTCTGGTAAAACCCATCAGCCCCAAACCCAAATGCCTGCTGGTCCTTCAGGCCCCTACACTTATAGAAAGTGGACTGACCCACATTATTTCCTGTCTAAATTTAGAAAATAAGTAAGAAAAATAATAAAACAAAAATAAATAAAATCAACAATTATCAACCTACAAATAAATTCTGTAAATAATACAAAAAATAGACATTTAAGAATAAAGTAACAAAATTCAAATGGATAAGGGAATAAAGATAAAATAGCCCCAACAACCTCTATTCTGCCTTTTCTCCCTCTGTATGTCGGCATTACACACGACCCGTTGCCATGGCAACCGACAAACAACAGCTCAACGAGCAGATAGAGCAGAGATTACCGATCAGGGGAATCAACACCAAAAAAACATTTCCCACACAAAAAAGTAGCAAAAACACTAAAACAGAACATCCAGTCTGTTACATTATGTTGTCAGGCTTAATGTCTATATTGTGATTATTAATAAGTTTTTGCCTGAACAATGCAGTGGTTGATTAGCTGATTTAAACAGCTGCTCTACTGATGACTTGGTGGGTTGTTTAGTGCTAACGGAACCAAAACACACCGAACTGCGCAGCACATGCTAAGGTTATCAAAGTCAATACCAGGCCAGCAACAGTTAGGCTAGTATAACTGACCCACTGCTCACTTGTTCAATCTTTTCTTTAAATTAAAACGTTTTCCTCATCTGTGAAATCTGAAGCCCTTATTTCCATTATCTATGGTTTAATTAACTGCTAAACATTGCGTCCGTTGTTCTGATTCTTTGCGTGATTGTAGTAGTTTCCTGACCACCGATATTCCTGACTCAATGGACAGAAACTGCGCATGTGTGACTTACGATAAATCACATAATGTCCAGTCCAATAATATATCCATCAATGCTGCTGGCTCGCGCTCTGTCCTTCTCTCGCACTTCCCGCTACTTAGCAGTGGGTGTCAGGTTACATTGTGTTGCATTCAATGTTGTCGGAAAAAAGAGTTTCATGCGCTTAATGTCCGATTTGCCATAACTATTTATTGAATTCATTGTCGCTAGCTGGGGTGGCAACAGGGGTGGCAAGGCTCTCGTTTGGGGTGGCAACTGGCGCCCCTGCCTATGTGTCTGAAAAATACACAACACTGCCCCTTTAACTAATTTTACAATAAAACCAATTTAATTTCTTATTTTTCCATCAAATGTTATTCTACCTAAATAACAGTTAGTAGTTCTGGGGTATGCAAAAAACTTGAGTTAGTGTTAATTCAAAGTGAATTTTAATGTTAGTCTGATAGAACATTGTTATTTAGTATTTGAAGTCGCTCCAATTGCCTTTTTCTGTAGCCTTGTCTAAGAAATTATGCTTAAAAAGAAAAAAACAAAAAACAAAAAAATGAAGGCCTAGTGGCACTGTGCAGTTTACACTAAGCCTCAGTAAGACAGCTGCTCCCACAGATCAGCAGCAGGAGCATAACAACAGTTCTGGGTCTTACTGTTAGCGCTCCAACTCCGAACCGCGCTCGACATCGGCGAGGTAATCTTGAAAACGAAAGCGCAGAATCAATACCAATCACGTTAGATCTGCAGAAGGCTGGAAATGATTTGCCCATAATATCAGCCTCCTGTTCCAAAGATCTGCTCCTTCATTACCGCACCATCTTTTTTTCTCGTTTTACTCCTGTAGAGACCGTGATGGGAAGGTTAAACGTAACACCCCCCCAAAAAAACAGGCGGTGACTCTTCCCAGGTTGGTTCCTGCGCGCTGCTTACAGAAACGGCAGCGTCACAACGGGGTTGTGGAGGAGCCCCGCGTCCCCCGCATGAGGCAGCAAAGGGAGGCAGGCGGTAATGAGAAAAATGCTAATTTGGCAGTGCAGATATTGCACTTGGCCTCCATGATGAGGGATCAGGTAGAGAGGCCAGCTCCAACTGTGGAGGGCAGAGGAGAAGATGGCTCTTTGAGTAGAGGTGGGAGGGTTAGAAGGGGGGGTTGGGGGGGAGGGGGGTTAAGTGGAAGTAGAGGTCTGAAACGCACGCGGCTGGAAAGTGGGCGGGCGCGGAGCGAGAAAGCAGCAAAACAAAACAAAACAAAACAAAAAAAATGTGAAAAGATTCGCCATGAAGATCCTCAGCTCCTCCAGGGACGCTTGATTCAATTTCCATGTCTTCCTTCTAGCGTCAGAGCGGCTTCTCAGGGTTTGACTGGCAAGAATTAAAGGCTTCTTTAAACTTCAGCTCATGTTAGCGACAGAAATACTCCCTTCAGGCGGCCCTGCTCACTCAACCAACATCTTCATCTTCTCCTTATCAGCCATTTCAGAGTGTTTTCTGAGCCAAATCGCTCCCGTCATTTTTGCCACAGCTAACTTGATGTTCTGTGTGCTTTGCGAAGGCATTCACACCCCTCAGATCTGCTCATATTCTGTTGTCCCGCATCGGACTTACTAGCATTTTACGTCACAGGCTAACGTAAAGTAGCGCATGTGAAGTGGATGGAAAATAATATCTTGTTTTCTTTTTTTAAAATACAAATAGAAAGCTGAGAAGTGTGGCATGGATAGTTTTTCAGTCCCCATTTATTCTGTGACCTTGAAATGAAGTCCAGTGCAAACCAACTGCTATGTGAAGCAACCTAATTATTATTAAACGCCGTCTTTAATGATTTTTTTTTTTCAGAAAACCTAGCAGAAACTTTCCCGTTTGGCGTTTGATAAGCTAGCTTGAGGAGCTAAGCTAGTTGGCAGCCAATCAGACAGATCAGCATGGCAAATAAGATTTCAATAATTTATTTTAACTTACGTTTTATAATGATTGAAAAACAGATTAGATTTTATGATTTAAAATATATATATACGATTTTTAATTTATTTTTCAAAAAAACTTTGTTAGAAACCATGACAGAAATATCAGCGTCATGAAGGACATGAAACACAACAGTTAGGCCAATAAAACATTGTGGAGGAATTTGAAGCAGAGTCAGAGTATAAAACAATATTTTAAACCTCAAACATCTCTGTTAGCAAAGTTCAACACTTCATGCCACAATGGAAAGACTATGGAGAAACTGCTAATCAAAAAACAGTGACAAGAACAAAACTATTTTAAAAGAACAGTGAAAACAGGTCAGTTTGCCACAAACACAGCAGACCTGAGGGCGAGGATGATCTGATTCGATCAAATCAAAACCAATTATCTTGGGCAAATGGAAAAACTCTGTAGGTGTGGAAGAAATCTAACACTGCATCTCAACTTTTACAGACCATCCCCAGTGCTAAAGACATGGTGGTGGCAGGATCATGGTGCGATAAACGAAGTTAGAGTTGCTGTCACCATGGAAGAAAACCTTTTGATGCTTAAAAATTAGAGATTTGGGTGGAAAACATCGACCGGAGTCAGAATCACGTCGCCAGGTTCAAAGCATATTGATTTGTTAAAATGACCTAGTCAAAGTCCAGACCTAAATCCAACTGGGAATTTGTGACAAGATGTTAAATTAGACGTTTCTGGATGACATCCATCCAATCTGACTGAGATGTTGCTATTTTGCAAAGAAGAATGGGTAACGAAATGTGTCTCAATTTGAGCAAAGACATACTGCAACTGGAGTAAAAGTTACTTCTAACAAAAATACTCCACAATTTTCAGATAACCTTAAAATATCAGGCAGACAAGCATTTGTCTCATAACACTCTACAATTACCGGCCTCTCAACTCTGGGCGATACGAACTTTAAGTTTCATCACGATATTTTGTGATCATGATAAATGTGACCAAAAAGAACAATTTATTGCTTCCTTTATAGGTGACTGTATGCCTGTAACTGTGTGTCACAGCAATTATAGCCCCACAAGCACAAATACTGCTCTTGAAAAATGTTCCCATTTGTCATACGATTCTTCAGGACGTCGGTCACATGACAACAGTGTCACTTGTATCACTAAACTGCAAATCCTAACTGCGTTTAATCCTATTTTTAACTTTATTGACGCTTTCTTTGAACAAACAGTGGCGAAAATAGTAAAAGTAACATCAATTTTTAAAACATCGTTAGCTGGAATTTATCGTGACAACAATGAATCAATACTATGACAAGAAATTATCACGATAAACAATATGATAAATGCACACCTCTGGTTCTACTTCAGTTTGTTTCCCTAACCAGAAAAAAAAACTGAACAGCATTTAAGTGTGTGTTCCCCCCTTATACACACACACACACACACACACACACACACACACACACACACACACACACACCAGAAGATAAAAGCATCAGCACTCACAGTCTCTGTAGTCCGGTGTAGAGCTCCATATCAACGTCTCTCAGAGTCTGCAATCCCGTCCAGTTCTCTAAGTGTCTGAAAAACGAACAAGAAAAAGAGGGACGGTAAATGAGACATACCTTCTCATCCGAGGGAAAGAAGAAAACAACAAGAAAAAAAACAAACCAAGAGACATGATGGGGTGAGGAAAACTGCTTTTCCAAGTCCCCCGCTGCAAATTAACTGGCTGCGTTTTGTCAAAAGTTTTTGAATTCATATTCATTTAAACTGCAATAATTGGAACAGCTCTGACAGAGTGCTCTCTGCTGCCCTCTGATAGATTTAATTGCCAAGAGGCAGCTTCTGAGGCTTAATCTATGTAAGGGGAAGTGGGAGGGAGGAGAGGACCAAATAAACACTGCAGATGGCTTCACTTCTGTTAGCACCGTCAGACTCCGTAGTGAAGCGCTTTCTGTGTGCTGGTGGGATAAGGAAAGTGCAGTTCATGCCTATAAATTAGCTTCGGGGAAGGAAAGCGGCTATTGTGGAATTAAAAGTTGTTGTTTTTTTGTTACAGTTTCAAAAGGGACGACATGAATCAGGGCCACGGACTTTAACGGTGAATGAATGAGGAGATAAAAAAAAACTAAACGAAGACGTGTGGAATTGTCCTAAACGAGAGAAGATGAGGAAAAAAATGGTGGCAAGATTCAGGAAACTGTAAACGTAAGTTTAAATCAAAAGGCAGGAGACGAACGCTCAGCAAATAACAGCATTACTGCTAACTGGAGCCACATACGCAGCGAACAACATGTTTAGAAGAGTTACTAAAACGATCTGGTTGCAAGCTCACGGGAACACGTGCAGGCCGAGCCCGGAGACAGATAATCAGATCACAGCTTGTATTTTTTGACAGCGTGGGGGAAAATTATGTTCTGGCAATTGTTTTTGTCAAAACCTATGTTTCGGTGTTCTCTGTTGGAGCCCGGGCATCTGGTGTACGATGATGAAGCGGGAGCTGAGACATCACATCACGTTTGCGTGAGTCAAGAGCTCCGGGGTGGATCAGCCACTTTTCATACGGTCGAGGAGGATGCAGCTCTCCCTGATCTGAACTTCATCATATATTTGTGTTTTGGTTCTTCTGCACTTAAAAAACAAACAAACAAAAAAAAAACAGGCTTTACAGTTTCAGCTGTACTATATCAGTTCTTGCAGTTTATTTGTTAATTTTTTCAGGTCAAACACACTGACAGTGGATGTAGAAATTTCTGCGGATGCAGTGACATCTAGTGGCACAAACTGCTAGTTGCGGTCAAATGCTGATAATTGGACATTTCCAGTCAAGAGTTTTGGGCCTAAAACAACCGAACATGGAGAAGCAGCATTCAGGTTCTACACACCACAAATCTGGAACAAACCTCCAGAAAACTGCAAAACAGCCGAAACACAGAGTTCCTTTAACAGCCGTCTGTTTAGAAATCCCTCTGATTAGCAACAACTGGAACATTGATCAACACGTCTGATTTTGATGACGGCCTTCAGTTGGACTAAACACTTAAACACTCGCAGAGATGACAGTGTTTAAGCTTGCATGTGTACGAAGGACTCGTACAGAGAACATCATCCGACTCTGACTAAGCTGCTTCACCCACAGATCCTTTTGTTGTCCTTGAAATCTTTCTGAAGGTTCTGTCTCCACTCAGGCGTAATGAGATCAGGAAGCGAAACCTAATTGCAGATGCACAGCAGATTGGGACTGATCTTTACTCAGACATAGAGAGGAAACGGATGCATCATGCTAATTCCCGTCGAATCGAGCAGAAGCCGAGGGATGAGAACAAAGATGATTTCAATCACCGAATCAGTAATAAACAACGATAATCAGAGCTAGTTGCCTATAGAGTAGACAGTAGTTGTTGTTTTTTTTTTCTTTATGGATACAATCATACTTTCACTGCGGGGGCACTAATAGCTGACCCAGCAGTACAAATGAAATAAAATAGTGTGGCAGCTATAAGTGCCTCACAATGGCAGTGACAATGCTGCTGAGATCATTTCTAAAAGGAGGGGATGGGGGGGAACTGCAGACTCTAAAGGCAGAAGGCGATAAATCTCACGCGGATTTATTCGCTCACAGCGGATGTAGCTTTACGGCGAATATGCTGAAGGAGACCGGGACCAGAGCAGGGATGATCCACATTCTGGGATGATAATATAATAATATTATCATTACCCTCCTAAAATAAAGTCTTTTTTTTTGGCAAATGTGATTCCCCCCCCCCCCCCCCCCCCCCCCC